CTTCCTCGCCAGAATATGGATATTATTCTATCACTGACAGTGTGGTACTTCAGGATAGATCTTGAAATGTTCTTTTCGACAATGAATGCAATGCCATTTCTCTTCAATTTGTCATTCCTGGTATAGTAGATCAGATTTAAGTGTCTGATTCAAAATACCCAATGTCAGTCCATTTTAGCTCACTAATGTCTAGGATGTTAATCTTTATGTGTTCCATTTCACCTTGACCACTTTCAATTTTCCTAAATTCATACTTTGTACATTCCATGTTCCAATTATTAATGGATTTTTATAGCTGTTTCTTCTCATTTTGAGTTGTGCCACATCAGCAAATGAAGGTCCCGAAATTTTTACTCCATCTACATCATGAAGGTCAATTCTAGTTTGAGGAGGCAGCTCTTCCCCAGTTGTATTTTGGGTTCCTTCCAACCTGAGGGGCTCATCTTCTGGCACTATACCAGAGAGTGTTCCACTGCTATTCATAAGGTTTTCACTGGCCAGTTTTTCAGAAGCAGACTGCCAGGTCCTTCTTCCTAGTCTGTCTTAGTCTGGAAGCTCAGCTGAAACCTCTCCACCAATGTTACCCTGCTTTTATTTCAAATACTGGTGGCAAAACTTCCAGTATCACAGTAACGCACAAGCCACCACAGTACGACAAACTGACAGACACATGGTGGCATTAGCCATTAGAAATATGCTAATCAAAACTACAAATGAAATATCATCTCATCCTGGCAAAAATGGTACCGCACTGATCAAAAAACAAAAAAAACAACAGATGCTGGCAAGGTGTGGGGAGATTGGAATTCTTTACACTGCTGGTGGGAATGTAAAATGGTACAACAGTACGGCCCTTATTCAAAAAGCTAGAAATAGAATTATCGTATGATTTAGCAATTCCACTCCTAGGTATATATCCCAGAGAACAAAGAGCTGTAACATGAATAGACATATGCACACTCATGTTCTTTTTAGCACTACTCATATAGCAAAAATATGGAAACAACCTAAACGCTCATCAATGGATGGATGGATAAACAAAATGTGGTATATACATACAATGGAATACTATGCAATGAATCAGGAGGGAATTATGCTGAGTGAAATAAGTCAATCACAGAAGGACAATATTGTATGAGACCACAATTATAAAAAGTCAAGAACAGGTTTATACACAGAAAGAAACATTCTTTGATGGTTACCAGGGATGGGAGGGGGAGGGAAGGAGAATCACAAACTAGATCATAGTGTTAATTCTGGTGAAGGGTAAGGCAATACACAATATGGGAGAAGTTAGCACAACGTGACCAAGGCAAAGGAAGACACTGAGCGGTAACCAAGAATAAAGGGCAACTATGGTAAATGCTATAACATATACAATCCTGCAACAACAGTAATAACAATCAATAATTTGGGAGTAGATACACAGGCTAATATGTATGCTAAACAGGTGAAGGGTGTCATACAGGAGTATACTCGTGTATAGATATAGATGTGGTTGTGGATATTTCTACAAATATATTTGTACACGCTGCATGTATACTCATATATATAACAGAGCACATAGGAGGCACAGTTATAGAAACTACTTAGACATCGAGACTGAACTACTGGACATGAAGACTAAGGACCATAGCCTTAGAGGACATCTAGGTCAACTGGCAAAACACTGTTCATAAAGAAAATGTTCTACATCCTAGCCTGGTGAGTAGCATCTGGGGACTTAAAAGCTTGCGAGCAGCCATCTACCAAACAACCATTGGTCTCTTTCCACCAAGAACAAAAGAGAATGAAGAAAACAAAAATCCAATGAAGCAATTAACCCAAAGAACTAATGGCCCACATGAACCACAGCCTCCTCCAACCTGAGACCAGAACTAGATGGCGCCCTGCTACCACTACTGACCACTCTGAGTGGGATCACAGTAGAAGGTTCCAGGTAGAACGGGTAAAAAATGTAGAACAGAATTCAATATTAAAATTTAAAAAAGACCAGACTTACCGGTCTGAAAGAGACTGGAGGAACGTCCGAGGCTATTGCCCTAAGACAATTTTCTAACTTGAAACTATAGACACTCTTGGAGGCTACTCTCAACCAAATAACAGATGGGTCTATAAAATAATAACACCTATGAAGAATGTGTTCCTTAGAACAATCGATTATACAAGACCAAAAGGGCAACACATGCCCAAAACCAAAGATGAGAAAGTAGGGAGGGACAGGGAAACCTGGCTAATAGAAAGGCGGAACCCAGGGGGGAAATGGGGAGAGGGCTGACACATTGTGGGGATTTCAACCAAGATCATTAAACAATTTGTGTGAGAATTATTGATTGAAAAATTAATTTGCTATGTAAACTTTCACCTAAAACACAATAAAACGTTAAAAAAAAAAAAACCTATGGAGCAGTTCTACTCTGCATACATGGGGTCACCATGAGTTGGAATCAACTCTGTGGCAACTAGCAACAACGTACCTACTTCTGAGCAGTTTTCTAGTGAGCTATACTGCATATCTACGTCATTTCAGTAAGCTAGAAAGTCATTGGAAGTGAACCTTGTGCTTGATCCTAAAACCTTCTTTGAGATAATTCACTAAAAACATCCACATAATGGCCAGGAAAGGAGCCCTGGTGGCGCAGTGGTTAAGAGCTCAGCTGCTAACCAAAAGGTCGGCAATTTGAGTCCACAAGCCACTCCTTGGAAACTCTATGGGGCAGTTCTACTCTGTCCTGTAGGTCTGAGTCAGAATCAACTCCACGACAACAGTTTAGTTTTTGGTCTGGCTATGAAAACTTTAGGGACTAAATACATGCTTCTCTACATACATGTATATAACCAAAAACCAAACCTGTTTCCATCGAGTCAATTCCAACTCACATACATGTATATGTATGAATACATAAAATAACATTTTCACCACAATTAGATATAAAGATACTTGTGGTAAATTAAATGCACTCTGCAGTTGCTTTTATAACACACTATGTTGCTACTGGATTCATACTTCACACATCTCACATTCTGATTATTAATGGATGTTTGCAGCTGTTTCTTCTCATTTTGAGTCATGCCACATCAGCAAATAAAAGTCCCGAAAGCTTGACTTCATCCACGTCTTTAAGGTCTAGTCTACTTTGAGGAGGCAGCTCTTGCCTAGTCATCTTTTGAGTGCCTTCCAACCTGAGGAGCTCATCTTCCAGCACTATATCAGACAATGTTCTGCTGCTATTCATAAGGTTTTCACTGGCCAGTATTTTCAGAAGTAGACCACCAGGTCCTTCCTAGTGTGTCTTAGTCTGGACACTCAGCTGAAACCTGTCCAAGGGTAACCATGCTCGTATCTGAAATACCAGTGGCAAAGCTTCCAGTATCACAGCAACACGCAAGCCACCACAGTACTACAAACTGACAGACATGTGGTGTTGCTACCAGAAATAAAGGAGGAAATACGGTAAGTCATTCTTTCTCTGTTGTTGTTAAGTGCTGTTGAGTCAGTTCCAACTCATAGCGACCCTATGTACATCAGAGCGACAGATGTACCCTATGTACATGCCTAGTCCTGTGCCATCCTCACAATCGTTATGCTTGAGCCCACTGTTGCAGCCACTGTGTCCCTTCATCTCATTGAGGATCTTCCTCTTTTTTGCTGACCCTCTACTTTACCAAGCATGATATCCTTATTTTCAATTGCCCCATATGCATGTGAAAACTGGACAATGAATAAGGAAGACCTAAGAAGAATTGATGCCTTTGAATTATGGTGTTGGCAAAGAATACTGAATATACCATGCACTGCCAGAAGAACCAACAAATCTGTCTTGGAAGAAGTACAGCCAGTCCCTGGAGAAGGATTATTTCTCTAGTCTGAGATAATTCCTGAGAAATTATACTGTGCTATAACAATTATTACTAGGCTTGAAATCCAAATCCTATACTATTACTTAATAAAAACATAAGTATCTCAAATAATAATCAAAAAAAAAAAAAAAAACCCTGGGTCTTCTTTCTCACACCTAAAGTATCATTTCAGTATGTGGCTGGTCAAAAAGGGCTCAAATCTCATATTCTAAAACCTCGAAAAGCAGGTAGATATCATTGAATGTCTTTTTGTCTTTTGAGAAGCTGAGATAGGTAATTATATAACATACCACTCAGGAAATCAACTGATACTTATAAGGTATCTATACCGATACTTAGGAGTTCCTGGGTGGCCAAATGGTTAAGCAACTGAAAGGTTGGCAGTTCAAGCCCAACCAGAGGTACTCAAAAGAAAGGCCTGCTGACATACTTCCGAAAGCACACAGTTCTAATCTGAAACACGTAAACACCATGGGTCTGCATCAACTCATGGTGACTAGTAATACTGGCATGTTTTTCCCTAGGGTCCAACTAGCCACTTTTCCAAACCTCTCTTTTCTGTTCCTTTCAAAGTCGGAGCCTGCCTGCCACCCCTTGCCACTCCTCACTTGCCTTTCTCTTCCCTTTGCCCCTGTTGCACAATCTTTATAGGGTTCTGTTGCTCTATTTTATTAAAATCAATTTTCCTCTATGCTTGTTACAATTCTCTGCTCCACACATCAAAAAATTAGGATAACAAAGAAAACAAATCTCAGGAAACTGGAAAAAGAAAAAACAGCGAATACTTAAACATTTTTGAATGCTCATACATATAAACACATTAGGAACAAATGTTGTGCAAGAGTCTTTATTGCATACTTTTTTCCCAGGTAGTAACCAGTCAGATGTTCAAGGGGAGTACGCTAATTTTTCCAAATTCTTAAGATTTAAAGCAGCATTAAGACTAAATTTGAATTGAAAAATTATATACGCACTAGAAATCATTGATTTTAACTAAACCTTGGAATTTAGATATTTTATACCAGGACAGAACATGACTTTTCCTTAGAGTTCCTTCTTATTTTTCAGTTTTAATATTTTTCACTATCCTATCATTAAAATTCTGATAACTTACAATATTAAACTAATTGTAATCTTACCATTGTTGTTTCTTGAATGGATCCAAAACTATTAATAAAAATGTTGACTACAACATCAACTGGAATGCCTAAAAATAAAAATTTAAGAATATACTTAGTAGCTGTAAAAAACATGGAAGAATCTACATATTTCTACAGTTTATATATCTAATTTGATATTTTTTCCAAAATCTACATAGGATGTAAACTTGTAAATCTATTGTCTCAGTCTGCCATGTTTATATTGCTAGTGACTTACATTTTAAAATTGGGATCGTAATACAAATTAAAAATAAAGTTGTATTTTATAGTGTTCCCTATTCAAAAATATTTATTCCTTAAATTGTAGATACTTTGGGATTAACATGATTACCTTTTAAAAAACTTTGAATTATGCTGATTATTTCTACCTTTTCAAGAAAATGTAAGTTATTCTTTAAAAAAATAAGTTTTAAAAATACGATTTTTTTTTTTTTTTTTGCATTTTTCTAATCACACTTCAAATGCTTACTTTCTTGGTAAAGCTGTATTCAATAAATTTTACTTAACATTACTCTAGGCCACTATATCGTAATTTTTAATTCATAAACATTCAAAGTTAATCAGACATGTAACAAGATCATTATAAAAGCTTTGTCTGACCCGTTTGAGAATAATTTGAAAGCTCATGGAGTGAGAACTAATGTCTAATGTTGCAAACTTCTTTCTTTCTTTTTTTAATTCATTGTGGGCTGCTGGTTGGGGCAACAAAGGGAAAAATGTGAAGTTGGCCTTTTAGCCACATAACTACTGTCTGATGAAAAACAGGTGGTGAATCACTGTATGGTAGGTATGTGACAACCCAGATGAAGGCTGTTGTTGAAAGAAACCGAATAAGTTCTGGTAATGAACAAAAACCCCTGTTTTTACAACATAGTTGTATAACTTCAGTTGACTAGAAGCAGCTGCTGACCTTTTTTTTCTGTAATGGAAAAAAAAAATCAAGCCTTATAACGTTAATCTGATATACATTAATACCTGTCTTTTAACCATGCAACAGGGATTACAGTTTTCCAGAGGAGAGTTTTCATACAGCCTTTCCTACTTCATCAAGAAGGAAAAATAAAGGCTCTGTGCAATCTGCTCATGACTTTTATTTTATTGCAAGTATGGCTTTGGTTCTTGAAGGTGTGATAAACGGTAATATTTGGTTGGAGCAGAAACAATCTATGTTGTAGAAAACATGGTCACTTTTATTCGCAAAGTTAACACGTTTTTAAAAACCGTATGACTGTCTTTATTCAGCAAGCGAATGCAGGGAAATTTTTATCAATGTAAAACGCTAACACAAAGTAGAACAGAATCTAAGGGAACATCACAACTGCTCTTTATCCCTAAATGAGTAAATGGTCGTTCGACTGCAAATTATAACTTTTGTGTCTGTGAATAAAAGCCAGATTTGTATACAGAGCCTAAATTTTAAACCACTAAACTTAAGAATTCTCAGGACACTGGACTATAAGACATAAACTGTACTTGTGAGGAGTAGCTCAAGTAGATACATGAGACTAAATGGGCAGCTCCTGTGCAGAGGCGAGATGAGAAGGCAAAAAGGGACAGGAGTTGGTTGAACGGACACGGGAAATCCAGGGTGGAAAGGAGGAGTGTGCTGTCACAGTATAGGGAGAGCAACTAGGGTCACACAACAATGTGGGTATAAATTTTTGTATGAGAAACTAATATAAACTTTCACTTAAAGCACAATTTAAGGAAAAAAAAAAAAAAAGAGTTCTCAGTACTGAAAATACCCATTACAGAGGTTAGCCTATTAATTCACAGTAGATCCTTTCGTTTTTTAAACTGGGAACCATATAAAACTCTTAGGATTAATATTTTATTATTCAATATTTTGGTATTAAAATGCTCTGAACTGAAGAACATTACAATATGGTTATGCATCAATCAGAAATACTATTTCCCATCTCTTTTTGTTTATCATATCATGAAGAAATGATTTTATACAGATAAAATTAGTTTTTAAACTTCAAGGGATGAAGATATTTGAGGGGGTGAGGGGAACTGAACCTTTGAAATTCGGTCTTATCCTAGGGTCATAGCTGACCAACAGCCTATTCAGGATGTTGCTAGTGGAGTTGGCAGGTACTCCTGCGAGGTCCTCTGCTGACTGCTGGCTGTAAGAGAAAAGAAAAATCTGCTAAGTATTTAGAAAAGGAAAGAGTAATTTTCATTGTTAGAAAAGGCTATGTGTTTTGAGATAAATCCACAACTTTAAGATGGCTTTTCCAAATAGAATTAAATGAAAGATAGTGGACATTTTTAAAAGCCCAACAGATAATTGTTATAAACCATAAAAACAGACAAAAAATAGTATTTTAGCACCTAGTGTTACCAAATGCATTAAACACTGTTCTAAATACTCCACATTATTTTATTTTAAATAAAACTAAGAGACATCCACTTGTCCTGAAGTAGCCTGCAACTGGAATTCCGGACAAGCAAAAGGAGTGCAGACAACGAGACAGAACGGGCACAGCCCATTAAGTGAACAGTGTGCAATATTAAGCTCATGCCTCAGCAAAGCAGTGTGTGAGTACTAAACGAAATGGCCAGAAAGACAGTCTAAGGATTCATAGAACAACTAGGCTGACATTTATAAAATGAGTTTTTTCCAAGAAACATACAAATGTATGTTCTCCTCCTGAGAAAAAAAAAACAAGGGAAAAAGGGTAACTTTCTGTTATCAGATGAATTAAGCAAGTAAAATACTCTACAGAGCTATAAGATATAAGTACCTTTTCCTTTTCAGTATATATTTGTTGTCACATTCATCAACAAGAGGAAAATTTGACATGTTTCATTTTATTTGACTTTAAATAATGAATCTTGACTAAGTGGGTAGTTGGTTAACAGTACTTTTTTTTTTTAAGGCACTTACTTAAAGCCAATTGAACGTGTTGCTTTGCCTTTTGTTTGTTTGCTTTGGTTTGGTTTGTTTTACTATGCATAAAGTCTTATCCATCAATAATCATATTCCCAATACATTAAAAAATCCATCACACGTTTAACAAATGGTGCTGGCAAAACTGGATGTCCATCTGCAAAAAAAATTAAACAGGACCCATACCTCACACCATATACAAAAACTAATTCAAAATGGATTAAAGACCTAAATATAAAGCCAAAAACTATAAAGTTTATAGAAGAAAAAATAGGATCAACACTAGAGGCCCTAATACACAGCATTAACAGGGTACAAACCATAACCAACAACACACAAACTCCAGAAGATAAGCTAGATTAACTGGAATCTTCTAAAAATCAAACACCGATGCTCTTCAAAAGACTTCACCAAAAGAGTAAAAGGAGAACCTACAGACTGGGAACAAATTTTTGGACAGTACAAGTCAGACAAAGGTCTAATCTCCATAATCTATAAAAAAACCCAACACCTCTACAACAAAAAGACAAAGAATCCAATTAAACAAAGGGGCAAAAGAAATGAACAGACACTTCACCAAAGAAGACATTCAAGCGGCCAACAGACACATGAGGAAATGCTCGCGATCACTAGCCATTAGAGAAATGCAAATTAAAACCACAATGAGATACCATCTCAACCCGGTATTACTGGCACGAATCAAAAACACTGGAAATAATAAATGTTGGAGACACTGCAGGGAGATCAGAACTCTTATGAACTGCTGTTGAAAATGCATAATGATACAGCCATTTTGGAAAATGATATGGCACTTCCTTAGAAAGCTAGAAATAGAAATACCATACAACCCAGCAATCCCACTCCTACGAATATATCCTAGAGAAATAAGAGCCATCACACGAGTAGACATATGCACACCCATATTCATTGCAGCATTGTTCACAATGGCAAAAAGATGGAAACCACCTAGATGCCCATCAACAGATGAATGGACAAACTATGGTACATACACACAATGGAGTATTATGCAACGATAACGAACAATGATGAATCTGTGAAGCATCTCATAACATGGATGAAACTAGAGGACATTATGCTGAGTGAAATAAGTCAGTCACAAAAGGACAAATATTGTATGAGACCTCTACTGTAAAAAGTCATGAAAAAGTTTCCACACAAAAAGTAACAATCTTTGTTGGTTACGAGGGATGAGAGGGGTTGCGGGGGGGGGGGAATACTAAACAGATAATAGATAAGTGGAAACTTTGGTGAAGGGTAAAACCGTACACTATACTGGGGAAGCCAGCACAACTTGTACAAGGAAAGGTCATGGAAGCTCCGTAGACACATCCAAACTCCCTGAGGGATTGAATTGCTCGGCAGAGGGCTGTGGGGACCATGGTCTCATGGAACATCTAGCTCAATTGGCATAACACAGTTTATAAAGAGAGTGTTCTACATTCTACCCTGGTGAGTAGCATCTGTGGTCTTAAAAGCCTGTGAGCAGCCATCTAAGATACTCCACTGGTCTCACCCCTTCGGGAGCAATGGAGAATGAAGAGAACAGGATACAAGGAAAAGATTAGTCCTAAGGACTAATGGACCACAGCTTCCAAGGCCTCCACCAGACTGAGTCCAATACAGCTAGATGGTGCCCAGTTACCACCACTGACTGCTCTGTCCAGCATCACAACAGAGGGTCCTGAACAAAGCTGGAGAAGGATGTAGAACAAAATTCTGCTCACAAAAAAAGACCAGATTTACTGGCCTGACAGACTGGAGAAACCCCGAGAGTATGGCCCCCAGACACCGTTTTAGCTCAGCGGTGAAGTCACTCCCGAGGTTCACCATTCAGCCGGGGATTGGACAGCCCCATAAAACAGAACAGGACTAATGAGGCACAGTAGTCCAGGGACGGGGACTGAAAGGCAGGAGGGGATGGGAAAGCTGGTGGTAGGGAGCCCAGGGTTGAGAAGGGACAGTGTTGACATGTCGTGGGGTTGTTAATCATTGTCGTAGGGCAATATGTGTGCTGTTTAATGAGAAACTATTGTGTTCTGTAAACCTTCAACTAAAGTACAAAAAAAAAAATTGACAACAGCAACTGAAAAGGTTTGATGGGAAGCCTAGGAGACAGTGAGTTGAAGACAATGGTGATGGAAGAATTTGGAAAAGGATAGTGAGAATAGCAACACAACTGGAAGAATGTAATCAACGTCACTGAATTGTACATGTAGAAATTTTTGAAATGGTGTATCTTTGGCTATGTGTATTTTCACCAAAAAAAAAAAAAGGTCCTCCAAGGTCGAGAAGGGAGAGTGTTGGCATGTCGTGGTGTTGTTAACCAATGTCATAAGACAATATGCGTACTGACTGTTTAATGAAAAACTATTTGTTCTGTAAACCTTCACCTAAAGTACACTAAAAAATTAAAAATCCATCACCATTACAAGGAAGACTACAATTATACTTAAGCATCTACTACTATCTATTCCGTATCAATGTGGTAAAACTGTCAATTTTATGAATGACAGTAATTGTATATACAGTAAACTTACATACAACAGGCTTGGATTTGTATCGAAATCACAACTGATCTATCCGGCAATCTTTTCTGAGTTAACTACCATACAATCTGCTGATAAGAGACAGCCATGGATGAAGTATGACAGATAGTAAGAAGTTCATGAAAAATTTAAAAATACTATGAATTGATATTGGAAACTCAAATAGAAACCAGTCAAAGTCCAAAACATTAAAGAATAAAATAAAAATCAATTAGTTGAACCTTCCAAATGTGCAGGAGATTATATAGATTTTTTTAAATTGCTTCTCATGATGTTATCAGCTCTAATATCATAGCTGCAGGGACTTGGGGACTGGTAATGAGATTTTCCATTTCACTGCAGGAGAAATTGTAACCTCCTTAGAGCCAACTGAAAGCCCTTTTCAAAAGATGAAAACTCTGAAGAGAATGAGGGTTTATGTGGGAAAACTGCGTATTAGGATGCAAATTAGTGTTCAAACTTATCTACAAATTTTCTTATTCAAGTGAAGAAAACAGAACTGACTGATTACAAAATAAACTTTCTTGGATCAATTAAGGAGCTTTATTATTGTGTCTTGTGATATAAAATCTTTCACAAGTACGTTCTTCCTATGCAATGAAATGACAACACTAATTTTTGTTATTCTGAACTTTGCAGCCTGATTTTTTTCTTCCAGCTTTGAGCTGTGTGTGTCGATCAAATCCATTTTCTAGCCTTCAGTGACCGAAAAAAAAAAAACTACTACCAAATTTTGTCATGCCTCCACCCAATGGTTCAAAGTCAGTCCCCCTTCCTGAAATATTTTAACTTTCACTCCTCATTCTACTAAACTCAACCTGTCCTTTAACATTTGATTCAAAGCTCATCTCTGTCAAAAATCTTGTCTCAATAGTACACAACTGGGGAAGCCAGCACAGCTTGTACAAGGAAAGGTCACGGAAGCTCCGTAGACACATCCAAACTCCCTGAGGGACAGAACTGCTCAGCAGAGGGCTGTGGGGACCATGGTCTCACGGAACATCTAGCTCAATTGGCATAACACAGTTTATAAAGACAGTGTTCTACATTCTACCTTGGTGAGTAGCATCTGGGGTCTTAAAAGCCTGTGAGCAGCCATCTAAGGTACTCCACTGGTCTCACCCCTTCGGT